GAGATCAGAAGCCTAGGTGGGCTAGGTTTCTGATGTGATGTGGAATCCTAGATAGGCTTTATTTCAGAAGTCACAAACTACAATATGAGGATATGCTTGGCTTTTGACGCAGATTAATTTCAGGAATTAGAGTTGCAATTAAACTCTGCAACATTATCTGACCATGCAAAGGAAGTACTTCAGTCCTATAAATACGAATGCAATGGCAATGGAAAACCCCCTTCAATTCAACACACAAACTGCCATGCCCAAATTCTCGCACTACGGGAAACCTCTCAACAACCTTGAGATTTTTATTTTCTTTTTCGCCGACACATCTTTAGTTTGGATAAACAGAACTGTGAAGGCAACCGGCGAACACCTTCAGTTTGGATAAACAACACTGTTGTCGTAGAATTAGCCGACCGCAAAGCACATTCAGTTTGGATAAACAACACTACGACGAAGCCGACTGGTTATCTATCCAAGTCTCAGTCGAGAAGGATTTTCAAATCCTTATTGGCAGAGGTCATCTCATCAACTTTTTCGGCGAAGTGAGGTGTTACCAGGTTAATACATTCGACACCCTAAGAGCCGAATTTGATATTGAACTTCACAAAACTAGCAACCTCGTCTTCAGGCTCTATAACCCAAAGGCCAAGACGTGTTCCTTCCTCGATCGCAATCGCAAGATCAAGAAGTCAACAGCGCACCCAACATAACATCAACACATTTTACTCCATGGCCGAGCTCGGCCGACGAGTTGGCACACCCCACATCAACCGAATGACGTAGTTAACTCACTAGTTACTCAGCCTGCGCGCCACGTAGGCTTGGTAGTTTTTAGGGTCAACATTTTGGCACGCCCAGTGAGACCCAGTGCTAAAACTACGAAGTTCACATGATAGATCAAGATTTCAATTAGGTTCCGTTGGAGATTTGGCGCCAAGTAAAGCATTCCTACAAGAAGAAAGCAAAACTTCTTGAAAAGTTGTCTAGAAGATAGGGGCAATTTTCCGCTCCAACAACAATCAAAATTCGGCCTAGGAAAATTGTCAAGACAGCCGAAGAAGAACCTAAACGAATGTGTTGACTCAGAAAATGATTCGTCAGAGAAGTGTTCCAATGACGAACAAGACCAATACACGGCTTCAAACCATAAAATCACATTGATTGATATGGTAATTGAAGACATAGACCTAGCCGCCAAAACCACGCCAATCGATATGATTATTAGTGATAAAGTCGATATGGAGAAATACCGTTCGGCCAAGTTGTTTGCATTAAAAGCTGAAATTGACGAAATTATTATGCCTGGGGGGCATAATAATTGTTCAACACATTCGGCGGTCGATGATAAAAATATTTCATCAACTCAGAAACATTTGGAAAAAATTCTTTATTCAGCCTACTGCAGACTCAAATTGAGAATTTTGATATAAAAAGATCTTGGCTAGGAATATAGCATTGTTGGCCTCCACCTTATTATGGTTCAGCCATTCTTCTTTTCTTTTGCTAAAATAAAAAATGAATGAATAAATTATTTTCTTAATCATTCGACCGTGCAGGCCGAGACTTAATAAAATAAGGGGGCAACGAGCGGTACGAACGGTTAAGCATATAAGCAGCATATATTTGTATTGCAAGTCAGCATGCAGCTGCATTCGTTGTTCATTGCTTGATGCAGAAAAGTAGGAAAATCGAAGACCAAGAATTGATGGTAGACCGAGTTGCCATTTTTCTCGGTCCCGTTTTCTTTAGTTGATTCGACCAAATGAATGGGAAGTCTAAAGGTGCTGCAGCAAGTTTTTGTCTCGGTCGAGGACCTTTTTTTCATCAGCAAGTGGTTCCACTCAGTGGAATTTGTCAGGAGAAGAAATCGGCCACTACATCAGGCTACTTATATATATAAATATATAAACCTGATGTGATGCTGCTGTACATGCAGTTGGCTTATATATTGTTTCAGGTTGCCACTACCGAGAAGAAAAGAATGCCGTATATATATATATAGGCTGGCCTAGCTTTAGGAACGATTTTTATTGACCTTGGCCCCGCTTTACGACATTGGCAGAACATAGGTGACTTTAATGCCGAGGAACAAAATTTGTTTCGGCAATACGACAAAATGTTGTTGGCTACAAATGGTTAACTTCCTTAAACATTTGGCTTACGATCCGAAGTTCAAGGAAACTAGGGATACTTGAGAAAATAAGGGGGCCAACAAGATGGTGTGCTTGGCAAAATTTTGTCTGAACTATGGCGTGCTTGGTTTAAACAGTTGTTCCTTAGCCGAGCTGAGACAATTTTGGTCAAATGACAAAAGAGGTATTAGGCTTCAGCTACTCTCCTTCATTTAAAAAAAAATTAAAAAAAAAAAGGGTGTGATGTTCAATTTGCTACTTGGCCACTAATTCAACACTGATTTGACTTGAATTAATGCGCATTTGATGATAAGGTTCATTCGGTGAACTCAGTGGAATTTATTCAAATTAGCCATTAAATTCAATGGCCGGAGTAAATGTCTGCCACCGAAGGAATAGCTAAGGAAGACTACAACGTTGGTAGAGCAGAGGTTATCCTCGAAGAAGAGTTTTCAGCGATACAACGGGATTTTGTGGTCTACGAACAATTAATTTCCTTAACCATTCGGCTTATGAGCCGAAGTTCAAGGAAATTGGGGGGCAATGTTTGGACCTAAATTTACACCATCGGCCCGTGCAATCAAGACCGTTGAGTGAGCATAGTTTTCAATCGTTGGATGGAAAAGTGGAGATAATTTTTGTCATTATTAAAGGATAATATTATGATTTTTATCATAATAATTATCTTTTAATATGCATTATCCTAGCATCTACTTCAACCAGATAAATATGATGTGAATTATATCCCAAGCGAGCAGCACAGTTCAAGTTGATTTAGGATATCTGACGGTACATGGAAGCTAAAAATGAATTTGAAATGCATTCAGATAGGGTCAGGATGCATGCCACAATAAAGGTGATGGCTTTGGGTGATGATGAGACAAGCCTAGAAAAGCTAGGTTTGTAATGATGACATAGGAAACCTAGGTAGGCTATGGTGATGGAAATGATCGAATGGTTTTAAAAGGCTTCTGATGAAGGTTTTTTTTTTATTAGATCAGAAGCCTAGGTGGGCTAGGTTTCTGATGTGATGTGGAATCCTAGATAGGCTTTATTTTAGAAGTCACAAACTACAATCTGAGGATATGCTTGGCTTTTGATGCGGATTAATTTCAGGAATTAGAGTTGCAATTAAACTCTGCAACATTATCTGACTGTGCAAAGCAAGTACTTCAGTCCTATAAATACAGATGCAATGGCAACGGAAAGCCCCTCCAATTCAACACACAAATTGCCCTACGCAAATTCTCGCTCTACGGGAAACCTTTCAACAACCTTGAGATTTTTATTTTCTTTTTGGCCGACACATCTTCAATTTGGATAAACAGCACTGTGAAGGCAACCGGCGAACACATTCAGTTTGGATAAATAGCACTGTTACCGTAGAATCAGCCGACCACGAAGCATCTTCAGTTTGGATAAACAGCACTGCGACGAGGCCGATTGGTTATCTATCGAATTCTCGGTCGAGATGGATTTTCAAATCCTTATTGGCAGAGGTCATCTCATCAGCCTTTTCAATGAAGTGAGGTGTTACCAGGTTACTACATTTGGCACCCTGAGAGCTGAATTTGATATTGAACTTCGCAGAATTAGCAACCTTGTCTTCAGGCTCTAGAACCCGAATGCCGAGATGTGTTCCTTCCTCGGCCGCAATCTCAAGATCGAGAAGTCAACAGCGCACCCAACACAACATCAACAGATTTTACTACTCAGCCGAGCTCGACCGACGAGTTGGCACACCCCGCATCAACCGAAAGACATAGTTAGCTCACTAGTTACTCGGCATGCGCGCCACGTACGCTTGGTAATTTTTACGGTCAACAGAACCATATTGGTCGGGTTGGTTTGGTGTTGACCAAGAAAAAATTCAAACAATTTAAAGACCAAACTGCATCGCTTACTTTTGGTTTGGTTCGGTTTTGATACTTTTGAAATTGACCAAATGAAACCAAACTGACCATGTACCTCTCTATTATTAATTAATTCAAACTTAATTTTATTTGACTTGATGACTTTTTATGCTCCGAAAAACTTAATCATTCAATCAAATTGGAATGCGTGAGATGTGCGATGTTTAGTAGATTAAAATTCTTGAAATGATTAATGTTTTTTTATTTATGTGTTAAATAGGTTTAAACTTTAAACCGACCGAACCAAACTAATTGACAATGGTTTGATCAAAGGGTTTTGTAGTAGTGTGAATTGATTTAATTTCAATGTTTGTATTGGTCAAAATCTAATCAAACCGAACTGTTGAATACTAGTTGGTTGAGTTATATTTTTTATGTCAAACCAAATCAAATAGATCCGTGCCCAATTACCCGTGCACTAGAGATCTCAAGTTTAATAATTATCCGCTCTCCTGTGCAGACAACACTTCTTATCCTCACACGTCCCATAAATCGTTTGTATCAACAAAATTTATATTTCATTCTCAAGACATCCCTCTTTACTTATTTACTTGTGTGGCGTTTTTTTTTTTCTTTTCATTCTTATGAGTATTTGTGTAGTGGGTTTATGATAAGATCTTACAATCCTTCTCAATGAAATTGTGTACCAATGTCTGTTAGAATGTTGTACTGAAACGAAAAGGTTTGTTATAACAAATATATATAGGCCTCGTTTGGCAGCTCGGATTGTATTGACTATTTCTGTCATATAGGATAAATAGCCACCGGATAGTACTGCTTAAATTAGTCGAGCGTTTGATGCAGTATCGGACTAATGACCGTAGTATTTATAATGTGTTTGGTACTGAACTGGATAAGAAAAGGGAAGAATAAAAATAGACAAATCTTTATTTTTTTGTTGAACTTTTATCATATTTGTACCTATTCAAAACCACACATATTTTCAAATAACAAAGAAAAATAGTAAATTCCATACATCAAATTCAAAATATTTTCCAATAACACAAAAGAAGGTTCACAAAATACAATTACAGCCATTACGTTATATAGATTAATCCAACCACATATCCAAGTTCACATATATACAACTGCAAGTTGGTTTCAATAAGAAAAAGTTTGTCCAAATAGCCAACAAGGCAAGTTGCCTCTTCAAGTATGGACAATAATGCATCTTCATCATGTTGTTTCCAAACCCCTCTACTTCCTTTTGGTTGACTGCTTTGTTCACTTTCCATTCCTATAATTACATACACAATAATATGCATATAATCAATTGTGCATATAATTAATAGTACGTGATAAAAACCATAAGCAAGGGCCTTTACTTTTGGCATTTTTCAAAGGCAAAGGCAATTGGTTTTCTCGGGTATGGAACCATTCTTTGGGGAAAACAAAAGGAGTAGCGTGACTGTGTGTTTTTAGAGAGAAGAAAGGAGAGCACCATTTGTTTTGAGCAGCCCATTTTGAGAGATATCAGAGCAGAGAGCAGCAGAGAAAGAGTGCCGCAGCTCCTCTTTGAAGAGAAGAAGAAAGTGCTAAACAGACAATCAAACTAGAAACAATGCCTGCACTCCAGAATAGCCAAAAACCGTAAAGCTAAACAGACAATCAGTCAAGTACTAATTTAAATTATGAACAAAACTGATTGTTGTTTCCCTTTGTTTTTCCCCGATGTGTACAACAGTTTTATAATCTCAGCAACTGTAGAGGAATATGCTATTCTTATGGTAAAGATCTATATTCTAAGCCATTCTAATCTTCGGGAAGAGGATTCGAACTTCGATTTAAGAAAGAGATTGACATCTGCATTGCCCCTACAAATATCCCAGAAATAAAGAATCTTTATTGCAGGTCAGGTTGCTCAGTTGACAAAAAAGAAAAGGAAAAATCTGAGGTCCCTTGGAAAATCATGAATGTTATCAAAGCTAGAATCGTCTGTCTTAAGAGCCCCTTGAAATAGGATATGTTAACAGCAAACAGATAAGTCCTTTAATCTCTCCCCCCTCTCTCTAGCAACTGTGTTCAATAATCCTCCAAGCTTGAATGGAGGTACACTAGGGGCCGGCATGGTTCCAGATATGATCTGGCAAACCGCCTGTGTTTGAGGCCTCTCACTGGCAATCGGATGTGAACATGCCAACCCGAGAAGTAGAAGCAACATCCACACCCAACTGACCAGCGAATACTGCTGGTGTTCATGAAGAATCTTAATCCCAAGTACTAAACAATATACTGATATGGATGAAAGTTCAACACCAACAACAAATCCAAAATTCGACCCCAACAACAAATCCTAGAATTCGAAAATTCCAATTAAAACACAAAATTACATAATCAATTGCATAATTAAAGAGAAAACAATAACTAGATTCAATCAATTGAAAGAAAATTGCAAGAAAAATAGGAGGGGAAGGGGAGGGGCGGAACATGGGAAGACGAAGAAAAATAAGAAGATGAACTGGGATTCAAATGAAGAAGAAGAAGGGCATTTGAGAAGATGAACCTGGTTTTGGAGCGTTTGCAGAGAGACCGTTTGCAGAGGAATGAGAGCGACTAAATTATTCCATGGTTTTGGAGAGTATAAAGAAGCCGTATAAAATAGATGGGCCGGATTATTTAATTCAGTGACTATTTAATACAAACGGACATCAAATATTGTTATATACTAGTGTGTCATGTTCCACCATCAAGTGGTCGTGCCGGAGTGGTTATCGGGCATGACTAGAAATCATGTGGGCTCTGCCCGCGCAGGTTCGAATCCTGCCGACCACGTTTTTTTAAACTTATTTTACATACAATATCTCGTCTAATTTCATTCCAACGTAGATGATTATGAATAGGGTTATACATGAAAAAATAAAAAATTCCCATTTAAACTTTTATTTAAGCATTCATCAATTGCTAACATGTATGAATCATAGACATGTAATTTTGTATAAATTATAACTAGTTTGAAATTTTGGATGATTAAATTAGGAGAATGGTCAACCTGTATGAATTATAAACACTTAATTTTGTGTTTCTTGCCCATTCCTGGTTGGCTTAATGTTATAGTTCTTGTGTGGTTAATTACCTTTATGTTGAATTAATATTTCAGCTAAAATTATGGGGAGCACTGTCGACATATATGACGTTTGTTAGATAATTATCTTATAGTGTATAAAGGGTAATTCTCATTGACCAAAAAAAAAAGAGTAATTCTCAATTTACTATTCTGAAGAATTATGATTTTCAAACTGTCATACATCAATTTTTTTTCATCCCAATGTCATACCTAACAACGAATTTTAAAAATTTTCTCTTGAGTTTAAGATGAAACTCGCACATCACTTTCTATAATCTTTCGTAGTTTTCTTCTGTGTCTAAGACTCTTTGGTGCATATTTTCAAGGATCTTGCACCGTGACATCCATGCTCATTGAGAAAATCAAAGAAACACTGGAGAATTTTATATGTAGCTGTCGCGGGGGTGGGACAATTTTTAGAGAACAAAACGGAAACTCACTGTGAGTACGATCATAAAGCTACTCAAGCTAGCTAGCATTGCTCACTGGAAGTAGAAAATAAGTTATAAGATCATTTTCGAAGGAGTAGTCAAATAGGCCAACCAAGGCTAAAAAACATCAAGGTGTTTTGAAGAAAGATGTTATACATGACGTGACAGCCAAGTCATTTGATTCCTTACTTTCTAGCTGTCTTTTTTACAACAAACAAAGGAGATGCCAAATGGCTTTAATTTAATTTTTAAAGCAAGCCCAGCAGTAACAGTGTGTTTTTTTTCCTTGCTGCCTGGAATTGCAGCCTATTGTGCTGTGCCGTGTGGATCTTGTACAATTGCTGTATTTTTTGCAATTGTGCCGTGAGTTCAAAATTCTTCATGGCTGTGAGGTTCTGTAATCAGTGCGCTGCTGCATGCTTTGCTGCTGTCTGCCGGAAGTGTGATTTCTACATCACAAGTTGGAACTAGTATTGCTAAATCAAAGGAGATCCTAGAATTGCAGCTGCTTGCAGTCTTGGTACATCGTGTGCTATAGTTGTACCGTGTTATAGTTCTTTTTATATACTTGGGCTACAGTTTACTGATCGCTAGTTGTCATCGTTGCCGTGTTGCTGTGTGAAACGGCACTTTTTTTGTTGTGTACAATTACAACTGCAGTTCCGTGTGCAATTGTTGTGCGTAAGCAATTGCAGTGTCGTATAAGGAGTATTTTGCTGCAAGTAGGTCTGCGTGCAGCCCTTATTGTGCAGTCGTGTGGTATTACAATAGTGAATAAAGGTTGAGTTTTGGATTCCCGTGCAACGGATCATATGTCATATGATAAAACTTTGTTTCAATCTATGAGACATCCTCATAGAAAGTGTGTGACAACTGTCAATGGTACTAATGCTCCTGTTGTTAGAGCCGAACAGTTTGTCTTACACCCCCTCTTCCCTTACATAATTGTTTATTGGTTCTGTCATTATCCCATCACCTTTTGTCTGAACCACAAGTCAATGAACAGTTAGATTGTGTTGTATTAATTTATCATTTACTTTGTTTGCTTCAGGATATTCAGACAAAAGAGATCATTGGACATGACACTAAGAGAGAAGGGCTATATTATGTGGATGACGTGGTTCCTAGAAAAGCTAATTTGGTTCCTACGTCACATAATAGTAATCTACATAAGGTATTGTTGTTTAATCGTTTGGGACATGCATCATTTGGTTATTTAAAACATATGTTACCTAATCTGTTCAATGGTATTGAAGACTTAGAATGAAGTGTAAAGTATGTATTTAGCCAAAAGTCATCATGCTTCTTTCCCTTCAAGTATGAATAGAAGGTCTTCTCCGTTTGCGCTAATACACTCTGATGTGTGGGGGGCCTTCCCCTGTCAGTACTATTTCGAGAATTAAGTGTTCTGTTACTTTCGCAAATGATTGCACCCATATGACATGGTTGTATGTGTGGAAAAATAAAAGTGAGGTTTGTAATGTGTTTCGTCTGTTTCATCAGATGGTTAAAACTCAGCTTTCCTCTGATATTAAAATTTTGCGTTTTGACAATGGTGGAGAGTATATAAATTTTGAGTTATCCCAGTTTCTACACGATCGTGGGTTTGTTTGTGAAACTACATGTCCGCCTACCTCACAACAAAATGAGGTGGCGAAAAAAGAAGAATCATCATATCCCAGAGACAGCTCACGCTTTGCTTATTTGTGCATATGCTCCTAAACGCTTATGGGGTCTCCAACCCCAAAATATAAAACTTCCACCAGCTCCCAAACCATGGGCTATAATTGGCAACCTCAACCTCATTGGCCCTCTGCCTCAACAATCCCTTCACAAATTGTCCCAAACACATAGACCTATAATGAAACTTAAGTTCGGCTCGTACCCAGTTGTAATTGCCTCATCTCCAGAAATGGCAAGACAATTCTTAAGGACACATGATCACATCTTTGCTCTAGACCTGAAATGGTAGCTGGTAAGTATACAACTTACGACTACAAAAATCTCACCTGGGCACCTCACAGTCTATATTGGCGCCAAGGCCTGAAAATTTACCTTTCCCATTTGTTTAGCTTAAAAGTACTAGACTCTATTGAGTATATTCGTTTTCAAGAAAACCGCGCTTTTCTATCATGATTATGTGCAGTGCCAGGCAAGCCAACTATGCTCAAAGAGCACCTGTCGCGACTAACTCTTAGCATTGTAAATAGAATTGTGTTGGGTAAGAAGTATTTTAGCATGTCCAAATCTGAGACTTCGATAGCGTCACTAGAAGTGTTTCAAGAGATGTTAGAAGAGTTGTTCTTCATTAATGGGGTACTTAATATAGGGGATTGGATACCAAGGGCTCAGTGTTTGGACTTGCAAGGGTACATAGAGCATATGAAAGCATTGAAGAAGAAATTCAACCGGTTCCATGATCATGTGTTGGATGAACAAAAGGCAAACATGAAATGAGTGAAGGATTTTGTGTCGAAGGACATGGTGGCCTTACTGATGCAGCTGGCTGAAGATCCTGATATTGAAGTTAAGCTCAACTTTGACAGTGTCAAGGGATTCACCCAGGTACGTATGCTTTATTTGTTTACAAATTTTTGTTATTTAAATCCTCGTTTACTCTAAACCCCTATTATTTATTCTAATAAGTAAGATACTGACGTGTTCTCGATGGACCTATATAACTGCATAAACATGTCTAAAGTTTATCATCTCCTAAATTAGGATTTAATAGCATGAGGCACAGATAGCTCAGCAACCACCGTGGAGTAGGCAATGTCTGAACTCATGAAACAACCACACCTCATCGAAAAGGCAACCGAAGAGCTAGACATAATGATTGGGAGAGAGGGATGGGTAGAAGAGAAGGACATTGCACAGCTTCCTTATATAGATGCAATCATGAAAGAGACAACGAGGATTCTGTTGGAATATAAGTGTTTGTGCTAGAGAAATATTAGCTTAAGTCTTAGTTTTCAGTTTTAAATGTGAGCCATTGGAACACAGTCCAATTGGACAACTGAGATGTAATCTTAGAGTTAGTGATTTGTGTTGACACATGTAATTATCTTATAGGGTAGATTACATGAATTGTTGGATTTGATTTTGTAATATAGAGAGAGAATCTCTCTCTCTCTCTCTAACGGTAATATACTCGCACACAGGTGTGAGGTGTGATTGAATGAATGCAAGCATTTTCTGTGAGAACATTCTCTCTGCAATTTCTGAGATTTTTCCAGAAACCTTCATCACCATTTTCGTTTCATTCCTTAAAATTGAGACCATAGTCTCTGAGATTCTAACATGGCCTCAGAGCCAGGTTTGATCGCTTAACACTGGGCGTTTGAATCTATGAAGAAAACGGTCTGAAATTTGAAGAAATTGCTTGTGGGATCTATGTCTAACATGGCAGGATCTGGAGATGGTGAGCTGAGAGCGCTGATCTTCAATGGTGAAAATTATGAATTCTAGAGCAAGGATGAAGACTATCTTCAAGTCTCATAGATTATGGGAGTTTGTTGAAAAAGGGTTAGAGTGCTCAAATTCGAAGGGAGCTGATGAATCTGATGCAAAGAAGAAGGAGAAAGAAGAATCGAGTGATGTTGTGACTCTCACGGAGAAGCTTATGAAAATGCCAAGGCATTGGGGCTGATTCAGGAAGCAGTTTCCAATGAGATATTTCCTTGAATCTCTCACAAAGAAACTTCAAAGGGAGCATGGGACGTTTTGATGCAAGAATTCCATAGCGACAAACAATTTAGAAGTGTTAAATTACAAGGCTTTCGTAGAGAATTCGAATATACCAGAATGAGAGATGATGAGTCTTTGTCTGTCTATCTTACAAAATTGTTTAATGAGATTAATCAAATGAGAAGTTATGGAGAGAATTGTCTAGAGAGAGAATTAGTTTGCCCTCTGCATATGATTCTATATGCTCTGTGATTGAACACTCAAAGGATATAGATGTGATTGAGGTTCAAGAAGTAGTTGCTTCATTGAAGAGCTTTGCACAGAGACCAGAGAGACATAATGAGAACAAAACTAAAAGAGCATTTGCGAGTCTCAGTGTGAACCCCAAACCTGCCAATTCTTTTGGAAATCAAGGCA